AACATGGCAGAAATAGCCATTTGGGCAAGAAACTGCTCTTGCCTGTACTGTTAGACTGTTTGCTGTATAAAGTGGACATGCAGGGCCCACAGAAAAGTGACTGCTGAACTTGCCAAAATACAATGAGACAGTCCTTTGAGGTCATTGCTTCATGGAAGAGTCTTCCAAACATTCTTCAGGACACAGAAAAATGGTGGAGAAACTGTCAATACCAGTGAGACAGTTTCAAATTTCCTTCTTTACTGAGAAGTCTGCCAGACACTAGGCCTTTAGGCTGAAGATGGATGCCCCAATGTTACAGAGGAACTTTGGGTGAGTGTCCAGGCAGTGAGATGTCTCTGTCAATTCTAGAGTTTATATATTGTCCTTCTATGGTCTTTGATGGAGTTGAGGACTAGTAGTTATGGTTATGGTTTTCCTTAGTTATAATAAAGGATAAGTAACATATAAAACTTTAGACTCATAAAGATAGGCTAGATAATAGAATATTTTCTTTAAATTTGTCAAATATTAATGGACTAAATATTTTTAACTGTAGTTCTCACTTGATAGCGTTTTTGTTATATATTTTACTATGTTAAAGTTATAAGCCTTATTATTTAGACAGAAAAGAGTAGATGATGTGGGAATGTCCTTTTGTACATATGTTTCTCTTATTGGTTCATGAATAAAACACCGATTGCCCTGTAGCCAGGCAGAAATTATAGGCAGGACTACGAGACAAGGAGAATTCTAGGGAGAGGAAGGCAAAGAGAAGCTTCCAGAGAGACGGCATATAGCTGCTGAAGGAGTACCATGCTGGAACATTCTCTGGTAACATAAGGCCATGTAGAAATACATAGATTAATAATTAAGGGGTGATAATTAAGAGACAAATAGCCAATGAGAAGCCTGAGCCATTGGCCAAACAGTTTCTAATTAATATAAGACTCTGTGTGTTTATTTGGAGTGGAAAGAAAGTCCATCTTTTCTGGACTGAAGTCCCAATGTGAGTGTTGAGAATTCAATCCAGGTCCTCTGCAAGAGCAACAAGTGCTCTTAACTGCTAAGCCAGCTCTCCAGCCCTTTTGTTTCTTAAAGATCTTACGTAACTGCCAAATGTTTAAAATCTTTTACATGTTTTAGTTTTATATCACACACATCATATCCTTAAATTTTCTTTCTTCTAGAGCATTATCAGAATTGTTAGGAAAGCTGACCACTATAACATGAAGTTCTGACAGGACAAGAACAAACAAATGTTTTTGCTGTTGTTTGTTTGTTTGTAAATGGTTCTACTGAATGCATGAGACCAGAAGTAATCCAAAATAATCTGGATGGAAATACATGACTAGACTCTGAATTGTTGTTTAGTATGGTTTGTACTGAAGAATATGAAACTAGTCCCCTCTGGACTCACAGGGACACTCTTCTTTGAGTCAGTATCCTCCTGTCTTCTGGTTATACTAAAAACTAAACAACCAGTGAATGACTTCAACTCTTAAAAATTATTTACACTTAAAAATTGGCATGGGATGGGATTCCCCCTCTTTAAAAAATGTTTCTAAAGCTCCTAACAAACTCACATTTACAAAATAGTTTATAAGAACATTCCTCTGGCTTGTAGAAAAAGGAAGACAGGGCATCCTGAGAAATAAGACACGTGATCAGTTGAGCTTGACTTCTTTCTCTTCTGCTGTAGATGTTAGACTCTAGTTTTCAGTGTCTCCTTATGCAGTAAATCTTCTTTAGTTCCTTGGTTAGTCATTCAAGCCTGTTTGCCTTTTGCTGTCCTTTTCCCTTTTGTTTGCACCGTTTTTTTTTGTTTTTTGTTTTTGTTTTGTTTTGTCTGACTTATTTCTGAGCAACATACTATGCTGGAAGATCATGTTGACTATCCTGCTACAGTTAATCCCTTGATTAATATACCATGAGTAGCTAAAATCATCAGTTTTGAGCTTATCCTTTCTTTTAGGTATTTGCAGAATACTTCCTGATGCTACCTTGACAGGAGTGGCTTTGGCTTGACAGCCTTGGAAGGTGGCACTTAGATTCCTCCTTCACCCTTCCAAGCTGACCTTTCTGTTGGTCATCATGGGGTTGGGAAGGCCACCTGGGTGGCTGGAAAACTATATGAAATTGGAGTAGAGTCGTATCCAAGCCCCTTAGTTTCCCTTCCCCACTGGCCAGATACCCCAGCCTTTGACAAAAGTGGCCCTGTCATTATTTAAAGGCTGTGCTTTCCTGTAGTCACTACTTTATGCATATATCTATCAAGAAATATATTTCATAGCATTGTGCTCTATATGTGAAACATAGACAGTTTAAAAAACAAAAAAATTCAGAGGTGGAAAAGTTAGCAGAAAATGCAACATAGTGCTATATTTATGTATATATAATAACAGTTATATATAAATATATATGTATATAATGACATGGTTGTATATATAATGAGATAAAATATGAGATAAGCTATATAATTATAATTATTTTACCAAATTTAGGACAACTTAACTCACTAAGACTATAAAGAGCCTAACAATTTGCCTGATAACTTGTTTATTTTATTTTATTTGAATTAGAAACAAGATTGTTTTACATGTCAATCCCAGTTCCCTTTCCCTCCCCTCCTCCCCTACAAGCCTGATAATTTGTTATGAACTAATTATTTAATTTATATTCAAAGTGCTGACAATTTTAAAATTATGTTTGGTATTTGGTGAATTAAAATAATAATACTTCCCAGATTATTGACATAAGATTGGTCTGGTCTGGAGATTTACCAAAGTACTTTCTGGGATATGACATTCATGTCAAGTTGTCATTTCTAAATTGTACTAATCCTCCCAAAAGCAATGAAATCATACTAACTCAAAGACAAGTCTAAAGTGAACAAAGGCTGAAGTAAAAATGTAAGGTAATTGAAAGACTATTAACTAAGTATAAATAGATGAATTTGCAGAAGTCAACAGTGGGCAGTGGAAAGATAGCTCAGCCCCAATATGATGCCTCACAACCATCTGAAATGCCAACTCTAAGGGATCTAATGTCCTCTTCTGGTCTCCTTGAGCACCAGACATGCACCTGGTACACATACATACAGGCAAATCACCCATACACATATGGCATATAGGTTTACTAGACTTTTCAGGCATTAATGTAAACTAAAAGAAACTAAGGCAAATGTTCTCTCTTGAACATATTTGTTAGGAGAGCATACCCTAAATCTGTTCATGTAGGCCATTATATCTTTTAGTATGAATAATCTTTTACCCTGCACAGACTCCACACATATATAGAAGAAAAATTAATTACTTTGTGAGAATTAGTCTGATAGGTACTATAAAGTATGCATATCTGTATGTAATTGGGCCTAAACTCCATAGTATGATTTAAAAGAAAAAAAACACCTTGATTAGATAATGAGGGAAGGTGTCACTACTTATGTTGAGGAGTGAGTGGAATTTTTGTAAATTAGATAATACAGAGAAAATTATCTGAGACTTAGACATGTATCTGCTCAAATCATATTTAAGGGACAACTAAAGGCTGTTTTGACAGGATTCGTTATAGAGAGATAGGGTCTCACATGTATCTCTGGCTATGTAGACCATACTGGCCTCAAACTCACAGTGATGTACCAGCCTCTGCCTCCTGAGTGCTAGGATTAAAGGTGTGTGCCACCACTGATGGTTAATATATTACTTTTCAGGAAGGCAGCATCTAGTTATAGAGCAGTGGTTCTCAACTTTCCTAATACTGTGACCCTTTAATACAGTTCTTCATGTTGTGGTGACCCCCAACCATAAAATTATTTTCATTGCTCCTTCATAACCCTAACTTTGCTACTGTTATGAATTGTAATGTAAATGTTTTTGGAACAAGAGATTTGCCAAAGGGGTCTTAACCCACAGGTTTACAACTATTATTTAGTGTTGGCTAGGTAAATAAATGGAAGAATTGGGACCTGACTGAGAAACAATGTTGAGAACTCATTTTTAGAGAAGTATAAACCTTTAGTTGCTTCACACAAACATACATACATACATACATACATACACACACACACACACACACACACCTCAGATGAAAGGAGACTAGGAGCTGGGCGTTGGTGGTTCATGCCTTTAATCCCAGCACTCGGGAGGCGGAGGCAGATGGATCACTGTTAGTTCGAGGCCAGCCTGTTCTACAGAGCAAGTTACAGGGCAGACTCCAAAGCACATAGAAAAATCCTGCCTCGAAAAACAAAACAAAACAAAAAGTCTCAGAAAGGAGACTATGGAAGCAAGGGTCAGAGTTGAAGAAACACATTGAACCTTGACACAGAAGCACCATCAAGAGACAACCTGCAATACACAGCTTGGCTTGGGGTGATGTGTATAGTAGGCTAAAGAAGATTCTGATCTTTATATGTCTAGGTGAGGTATAACTTAGATATTGACTTTTGCTTCCTTGGTTTCGTCTTCTCCATGAAGAAGGCAATCCCAGATGATATCTCTTACCCCTACCATTCTGACCTCTGGAGAGGCAGCTGCTCTTTGAAAAGCCTGGCCCATGCCTCATAGTCCTTTTCTTTGTGGTTCCCACTAACGACAGAAATAGGCTTGATTCTTTCTAAAGTAATTGATTAAATATTAAAGAAGAACAAGGAGAAATTTAAAAAAAACAAAATTAAGAAGTCCTGCCAGATTTTTTAAGCATCTTTGATATTACTGTCTCCAGTGAAGCTATCCTCACCCCTTACTTCTGCTTTCCCCACAGTTGCCAATGATATCCCCTTAAAATCCAAATTGAGCCGCACTACTAGCACCCCACTTAAATTTTTCAGGTCATCATTTGTACATGGATGGATTACCCATTACTGCCTTGGCTTTTTCCTAATGCCTTCCCAGAATAATTTCACTTGAAAGGTCAAGAGACATCTGGGTCTTCAAACTCTTGGTTTCTAACAACAGCGTATACAGATGACTTCAAGGTGAAATTCCAGTGAGAGGGATTTCTGGGGGTAATTCTGTACCCTAATTTAGCTTGAAGAGTTAACCTTTTTATTGGCACATATTAATTATATAATAGTGGATTTTATTATGAAGATTTCATATATGTATATAATGCATTTTGATCATATTCACTCTCCATTGCCCTCTTTGTATAGGCTTATGTCAGCATTTTATAGATTTATTTAAGAGCTTCTGCTTTTGAATCACATACTTTTAACATCCTACAGAATATACAGAGTATACTTTGTGAAGAATTTGAAATAGAAAATGGTTTATCTGGTGTCACACAACTAGGTGTCAAGTTTCAGTCATTTATTCTTGATTCCCCTACTGAGCTTCAATTAAGTTTCTTAATGGACTGATAGAACTCTTTTCACCCGCTCCCCCCCCCCACACACACACATCTGCACTCAGCTGCTTCGAAACACATTGAGGGCTTGACAAATGACTGGTAAATAGTAACTTCATAGTTTATACTTGTAAGAAATTTAAACATTAATTATATACATTGGCTTCTGCATATGTTGTATGTTTATGCTTTTTCCACCTATAAAACAGAATTTCTGTTTCCCCGTGTATACCTTACTCCCCTTGCAATTGTAATTTGTATATTTCCTTTGTTTCTCTTACATTTTTGTTGTCAGGATTCCATGGTCCTTGATTCATGATGTTTATTGGAAGTAATTGTGGGCTGCTTTGCCTCAAGGAAAATTTCATTAGGGGCACTGCTGTTTGACACCATTCAGGAAAATGTTACATGGTAAAGGGTATTGTACTTGTCACTGAATGCTAAAGAGGGGAAGGCACAGACTGGCAAGCTAGCCTGGTTATCAGCCTTTGGCTTTTTTGCCTGTCGTCTTTTATCGATAAGGTTGTCCTCCTAAAAGATAAGCTTGTGGCCAATTTGGTGAGTTTTATTTGGAAAGGGCAAAAACCAATACCAGATAAAGAAAGTCATAGTTAAGTTGATATAGACAGTCTATGCTTTCTAAAATACTGTTTCTATCCTCTGAGTTTAGGTATCTGTGATCGAGAAAAGAGTTTTATCAGGGAGCAAGATTGGAATGCATTGAAATGAAATGCTCACACTGACTACATCAGCTGTAATGGAGCTTATCTGATGTAGTGACTCAGCCTCTGTGAATCTGACTGTGTATGTGCTCTGTTTTGTACAGAGAATCATCATCCAGGACCTGCCAGAAGCCACAAGAAAAAAATGGGGAGGGGTAAGTTTCTCTTTCCTTTTCAAATGATTTAGATTCTCTTAATAGTAATCTAGTGTACCAGGGAAATTGAGACTAGAAGTATGTTTGTAGATACTTAAATTATGTTTTTTCTTGGTGATGGAAAATTTTTGTCTGATTCAATGCTGTGCAGAAAAAGATCAACATACTATGTGCTACACACTGGTTCCTTTGTATCTTCTGATATTTATTTGGTTTTGATGGGTGGGTGGGTGTGTGTGTGTGTGTGTGTGTGTGTGTGTGTGTGTGTGTATACATTTCCCAGTAAGGGAGAAATAATTGAAATTTGATACTACATAAATCTTCCCAAATTACCCATATGCTTTGATGGTATCTAGGTTTTGTTTATAGTAACACAAATGGACTGGCTCAATAATTAAGAGTTCTTAATTTACTTACTGCTCCTTCAAGGACCTGGTTTTGTTTCCCTGTACCAACACCAGGAACCTCACAACTGACTCTAAATCCAGTTTCAGGTTTTCCAACACCCTGTGGCCTCTGTGGGCATGTGTGTTTGTATGTGTGTGTGTGTGTGTGTGTGTGTGTGTGTGTGTTGAACTCACAAATTTATTCAGGCACACAAATATATACATACATAAAATAAATTACTAAATATTTAGAAAATTTTTAAAGAAAATAACACAAATAAAAAAGTTCCTTTTATGCAGCCTAGCTGGTGTTTTTAGTTTCTTTTAAAGTGAAAAATTCAATACTAAGAACCATTACATGAATACTTTGTGCTTATTTTTGCTTTTTCATGAAGTTATTAGGGTCAGTGTACAAAAGGGAAATTTGGGACCATTTCATTACTAATAAGGACCATCCATAACAATGACTTCATAAATAATTCTAGTCCATATAAATCATAAAATCAACATACTAAGCTAGGCAGTGGTGGCATACACCTTTAATTCCAGCACTTGGGAGGCAGAGCAAGGCAGAAGGATCTCTGAATTCGAAGCCATTATGGTATACAAAGTGAGTTCCAGGACAGCCGGGGCTTCACAGAGAAACATTGTCTTGGAACCTCCTTCCTCAGAAAAAAAAAAAGGAATGTGCTATAAAGGGTATTAAGGAAAGGTGCTGTGTGGAGTACTATGCTAAGAAACTATGAATCCAGATTTTAAGGCCTGAATTCAAGTTCCATAACCACTACATCAGGTAAATCTCAAAGTTTCCCTAAATTGTATTTTTTTCATCTCTGAGATAGAATTAGTGTATCCTGTACTTCCAGCTTCAGGAGGATGTGGTTAGCATACTATGATAATATATGTGAGTATATGGAACTGTACAGTCATTATAATAGCATAGAGCAGTGATATCAGCTTGTTGCTACCTTAATTGAGTGTATCTTTATTGGTTCTTTTAATGGGCAAAATGACATTATTTGATCAGATGCTTTTGAAAGCAACAGAACTTGGAATGGGGTTGTGCAGTTTACTGAGAGTTCTGCCTTAAGTTGCTGGCTCCACCATAATATGTGCCTTGACAGGCAGCCACTACTGCACAGATCACCCATAGGAATGCTTTCTGTACCTTGTTGCTTCTATATGCTCCAGAGCGTCTTTTAGAACATGATTTGTCAGGTTTTAGAGATACTGGTTCTTTCCAGACATTTACAGAAGGTGCCAATCCCCAACCATTTACAGTTTTTTAAATGAGTAAAAAATTTAACTGCATTAAGGCATAGTCCTAGGATTAATCCATACTTGATGTATTCTAAATTCAGCTGTGAGTGGAAACTTCCAGAGTGTCAAATATTGCTTGGTCCTCACCCAGTCTGCAAAGCTACAAGCAAGTTTAGAGAATCTCCTAGGTGTTGGCCTCCAGTGTCACCATATGAAAAAGGGGTGCACTAAGTCAAGGAACATATTCTCTCTTGTTTCTTCTTTTATTTTCAGACTGATCAGCAATTGCTAACAAAGGGATTGTTAGGGGCCTCCTTTGAAAGATGCTGAAACAAATAATAATTCAATGCCCAGGCAAGTAATAAAACATGATATAGTAATATAGTCTGCAAAGATGGGCATATTTCCAACCTAGAGATTGAAAACTCTTCCCGTTTTTACAAACACGGGAAACTTGTAATTCCTGCTTTGAAAGCAGTCTGGTAAATGTCAAAGAGACACCATTCTTTATTCTTGAAACTTTGCTTAGGTTTGCTTGATTATATTGATTAATTGCTGACACTTTTAGTGGAAAAAGGAGAAAGTCACCAGGTGTTTTCGTTTTTTGGTGCTGTATAATGAAATTTTTACTGTATTTGGTAAACATTCTCACAAAATAACAATATGTCATGCAACAGGATACAGTTGCAAAGATGGCACCAGACTTGTGTGAGAAATTAAAATTGAAGTTAATTTATTTTAGGATACTTTAATAAGGACAAATCAATATTATATATATATATATATATATATATCTCAAACTTTTATTAATGGGACATGAAAGATCATAAAATTTAAATCTGCAGGAACTATGTAGTTCAGTTGTTAGAGTGCTTACTTAGCATATACGAAGCCCTGGATTTAGTTCCTAGAACTGCATGAACAGTTAGTACATATCAGTACTTCTAGCACTTGGGAAAGGAAGGCAATGAGACCAGGTATTGTGGGTTAAACTTTAATATATAGCAAGTCTGAAACCAGCCTGTAATTCACGAGACCTCATCACAATAAAATGGGAGGGCAGGTAAAGAAAAGACGTGTATATTTAATTTCTTGTTTGACTATAATCAGTGTTTACAGTGTGTAGTTTTGAAATTGCTTTTACTCTGTTTTAACATTTTATGAAGTATTTAATCAGGACTTACTATTTAGGACTCAAGAATTTGTGGTTGTTTTTATATTAAAAAGTATTTGCAGTACTTTGTAATTCACAGATGTTTCCTCGACATTTATCTTGTGTTGTAAGAAAACCCTTATTATAAAATAAGGATAATAATTTCCATTTATATATTTATGTATAAATGAAACTGACTTAGAAAATATCATCTATAGTGAATAGCCTATAACCATTTATATATATTAGTGAGTCAAAATGCAGAACTAGATCTTATTTCATCGTAAGTTTTCATTTCTTCTGATAAACTCTGAATATTCTGATTATTAGTAATATGTGATGCTGATTACATCATAAGAACCATCTCTTGCTGAGAATTGTATGGGGGATTTATTATTTTTTCAAATCTGTAGTGATGTTCTAATATCATAGGGGAATAGAGATGTAGTCAAAGTCAAACAGCTCACTATCACCTACCATTTTTGGTGACAACTAAATCACACAAGTGTTTCAGATAGCAAAGTGCCACAAATAAAAATCCTGTAATCAACAATGACTTGTGCTTGCAGTAATTCAAAGGCCAGCAGCACAGTTTGTCAAGGATCTTAACAGATGTCAAGACATTTCACTTCACAAGCCTTGTTCTGAATATTCCACAAGGGAAAGCTCCTAAAAGAAAAGGCTCAGCAGTGTTTACCTATCCTATGTGAAAATTATCCTTTTGACTAAAGAACTTTTATCTTTGTGTCTTTTCTTGAAACAAAGAATATAATGTGTCATATAACCCAGAATTTTATGACATGAAATGGTGAGATGCTGGTTCAAAAAGGAACAATATATGACTATATGTAAACTTCTGGCATAAAATTAGCATTTTCACAAAAAAAAGAGAGAATGGGAAAACTTTACATTTTCAGGTGAAACTTAAACTTTATTTTTACCATTCTTCCCCCAAATAATTAGTACATTTCTAACAAAATGATTTTTTTAAAAACAGTGTTCTTAATAATGTCTTTATCCATAAAACAAGTTGCTTTTTACTCTGATTTTTATTATAATTTACATTCTGATTTTTAAAAATATATCTATTCATATGAATTTTTCTTTGCCAGAACTCATTGCATCTATAAGTGTTTTTGCAGTAATTTGTTGTATCTGTTTGTTATTCATGGCTAATTTCCCTGTCCTTACCTTAATAACAGAAGTGCCCTCTCACCAGGGCAGCACAGTTAGTGTAGATGTGGGTAAGCGAGCCCCAAAATTGTGAGCATGGGAGAGCTGTCTCCATTACCCATCTGCCTTGTGGTGACATGGACAGGGTGAGCACACACACACACACACACACACACACACACACACACACTCTTCAACATCTGAGGCAGGTGAGAGATCTGACCCTGTGGTCATAAGTGCAGGAGAGCTGTCCTTGAGCCCCACCATCTGTAACACTTGGGAGAACAGGCCCTGCACCTCACCTAGGTAACACAATAGAGCCAACCTTGTTGGTGGAGGTGAGCCAGCCTGGAAGTTGTAAATCTGGGAGAGCTGCACGGGCAGAGGAGAGATACCTACCCCCACCTCCTGCCCATCAATGCCTGAGACATGTAGAGGAGCTGGCCCTGGGGGGTCATAAGAGCAGGATGGAAGTGTTAAATAGCAGTCTAAGGAAAAATGGCTTACAATGGACACAGTGCATCTCAATTCTTTGCAATTCTGAATGTCAACTTTTGCATAAAGGTCCATATTTTCAAACAAGGAATGAATCTTCAAATTGATATGACCTAATTTTATTTGGAAGCTCCCTGGTTTGTATAGTTCAAGTAAGGGCATTTATTTAAAGTCAATTAATTATTTCATTTTCTTGCCTCTATTAGGTCTGAGAGTCTCTTTATTATGGTGACATTTGTGTTGCTGCAGTTTAAATGATGTCACTCCTTTATTGTAAGCACTTATCTTCCTAATTTTATAACAGTAATGCAAATCTACTTGGGGCTGGCAGCTACCATTATTTATTCCTGGCAAGTGTTTTCCACTAGAAAAAAAAATGGGCTGTTTAATGGACATGTTACTTAAAACTCACTAAAGAAAGCTTTTGTCATTAATTGTAGTCTCTTTTTACCTTTCATGTAGATTTGAGAATATAAGTCATAAGTTGACTTTTAAATTACTTTTTATTATTTAAAATAGTTTTTAGACAATTT